TTTCACACGTCACACTTGACTAAAGTCAGCTAAAGTTAGCGTTTCGAAAAAATGTTGATAAACAAATTGAAGTATAAATAGAACTACATCATATGTAACTACACTGGGCAGTCCTAATTTTCTCCCGATATTTGAGGATGGGTAGTGCATCAAAAAGTAAGTGTAGTTATTTATATAGGTACATTTTTTTCGAAAGAGAGATGTGTCTTTAAAGAGGTATATTTTTTACAAAAAAGGTGCAAATCCGTCGAATTTCAAAAGTTCAGCTCACGAAAATATATGAGTCATCAGATTGGGTGCTCGTATTCCTAAAGTCCTAAGTAAAAACCTAAAAAGTCCTAATAAACGTATATTGCACAGTCCCACCTCTTTTAAATAACTTTTGAACTATATTTTCCTTTTCAGTATATGAACCGAGCTACCGAAAAGAACCTCAATATGCGACAGGAAGACGCACTGGGTAAAACGCTGCAGGAGCAACTGGTCGCCGACTCAGTTCAGATCAACACTATGGGCTCATCCCTACTAAGAGGGAGAGAATGGAGCGGTCCCATGACACTCAAAAAGAAACCCTCGGAGACGGTGGTGTCGTCCTGCAAGGCTGTGCCATTCTCCTGTGCCGGAAGGTAATAAATAACATTTTGTCTTTTCCATGACGTGGTAACAACCCTTTAACATAAAGAAGCGCTAACCTGTTTGGGCAAGACTGAAACTGAATGACTCCATTGGGGAAGTAATTTTTAAGATTTTTTATTAACTTTAATCATTTTATGAAAAGCTCATTCCCTAGATTTTAAAAACATGTTAAAGTTAATGCTGCAAATGTAAAAATAAAAAAAAAGAATATCTGAAAATCCGTCACTTTTGAGATGAGGATACTTTAAAATTATTACCCGAAACAATGAGTGAAAATCAAAGGTGGAAAGAAAAATATAGCATTCCGCTTAAAATTAAAAAATTGGTGTTGACACACCGGTATCCCAATAATATCGGCAGTATCGGAATAATTGGAAGTGTGACAAATATGCCGTTATTTTAGAAAAAAGAGCATGCCCATGCATATACACATGTATATGTGTTTATCAAAACACTGAAGACCTTCAGAAATTTCGATTTTCGATTGCTAATGCAAAAAGAGCTGCTTTGCTGCAGGATGCCGACGCACTTCATCCTGGTATTCGACACGAGTTCTATGGACCCCAACATCCTCGGTCAAAGCAGGGGCAGCGTGCACTCCATCAGTACTGAAATACGTTCCTTGACTTTTATTAAACAAC